CTATTGTTTTCATTTTAAGTAATAAGGAATAGCAGCTGCAATTGTATATAGTACAACAATGCATGTCTTGAACGAAAGATGCCATGAAATAACTTGACAGGCCTTGGTTTATATATTTCTTTCGTTACATATAGCTTGTACGAAATTAATCAAGCTGTCTTTCAAGCAAATAAAACATCAAGAAATGATGGAAGTATGTATATATGGACAATAATTTTTTCAAACAATATTAATTAGTAAAGAGGAAAGACTATGGTTAAACAAAGATGTTTCATCCGTGATGATATTTGATAGATCGATAGGACATGTCCAAAATGAAAGAATTCATATACATGCATGCATGTGCATGTCAGAACAAAACAAAACTTTCTTTTGTTTTGTTTAGTCTGCATGAAATAGAAATAGCTTGTTGAAACTCCTTTTTCTGTTACTATTAAAGTTTTATTCAATTAAGCTCTGAATTAATTATTAATTTAATAATATTAAACAAGGAAAAGAAAAGGTTAATTTGGGTTTTTTCAATTCTTCTATAGGGAGGGTTTTTTTTTTTTTTTTTTGAACATCAACCGTTTGTTTTGGTTAGGACATGCAGGGATGAATCTGAATCATGGATCGGTATTTAGTAGGCTGTTAGCTCTGTGGCGAGAATCCGAACAGTTTACACGTGGGGATGCGAACAAGAGTCACGTTTCATGGTTAGAATTACACGTGCTGAACTATAGAGGCTCTACTTCTTGCATTATTATTTGGTATCAGTACTTAATAACAAACACATAATTAATATATTCTTTCAAATTTTTTATCCGATTAACCTTTGTTTGTAGGCTATAGGCACTGTTTAAAGATAGGTGAACTGTTACTTGAGAAAAATTTTGCATTTAATGCATAATATTTTTTTTAATTCAAGAAAAATAATACTGTATGAATTACGTAATTCTTAAATATAATCTTAATCAGTGTTATTAGAAACCTGTTAACATTTTTTCTAATTTTTGGCTGGGAAATAATCTTATGACACATTCAATTGTTGATCTTTCCTATGATAACTTTTTGAATTCTTTTTTTTTTTTATGGAAATAATCCATTAGAAGTAATTTAGGGAAATATTAAAGCTCCAATTGATTGGTGTTATTATTTCTTACTTTTAGTTATTTGATTTTTATATTTTTCAAAAAAATTGATATAAAAGAAATTATGCAAAATATAAAAAGTAATTATATCATAAAAATGACAAATGACTAAAATGTAACATTTTTTTTTAATTTTGATTATTTATATTTTAAATATTTTATTAAATTAAAAATTTATAATTAAAAATATATTTGAAAAGCTCTTCATTCAAGGTATTTAAAAAGTACTTTATTGTTTTTACTTAATAATATATTAAAAATAACATAAAGTCAAAGTTAAAAAAGTTTGATCATCAAAAGTTAAATTTGGACATTATTTATGAGATTAACTATTAAAATAATAAAAATAAAAAAATATATTTTTACCAAAATGTAGAATAAGAAATACTATATAATTAAGTAAATTGAAATATTCTTACATAAAGCCTACTTTGCTTCACTCCATTTTCTATGCTTCAATAGTCTTTTTCAATTTCTTTAATTATGAACTCGATTTTTATTTTGGTTTTTAATTTCATTATTATTTTATTATTATCATCAATACCTTGGTTTCCATTTTATTCACCTCCTTAATTATGCTAAACATTTCCTAAATTAATTTCTTTTTAGTTCATTATATTTTTAGTACTTGAATTTTTAAAAAATTGTACAAATTGATATTTAAAGAAATAAAATATTCAATTTGCACCCTAAACTTTTAAATAATGTATATTTTAATCCAAATTTTAATATTGTTAACTTAACTCGTCTATATGATATTTAACCAATATAATTTTATTATATGCATGTTATTTATTAAATAAAGGTGTTAAATATTTTGTAAAACTTTCATATAAATGTCACGTGATAAAAAATAATTTAATGATTCTAGACAATTTTAATAGTTTAAATAAAAGAAAATTAATTTTTTTAATTTATATTAAAAAAATATTGATAGCATGTGTGTTGGACATATAATTTAATAATTTTTTTCAAACACTACATATATAAGTTGATATAGTTAGCGAGATTAGTATTTGGGTTAAGATAGTACATAATTTGAAAGTTCATAATACCAATTATACATTTTATTTATTTAGATATTAGTTTATACATTTCTTAAAATTTAAGTACCAAAAATATAATTAACTCATTTTTTTTTTTTCATTTTTGTTTCCACTTTTTATTGAACATTACATTGGGTATTGCTAATAAAAAATTTACGAATTTTAAAACATGTAATATCTTTTTCATATGAGTTAAATAGATAGAGATTAAATTTAAGGCTAGATATTAGGAGTTTTTAAAAAATTGCATTGGTGCATCAGACGTTACTCTATCATTGATTAGGATTAATCGGGAAATTAGGGTAAATCATATTATCCTCCATCCACGTGCCAGAACTTTAATTACTTTATCTTAGCTAGGTAAATACGCGAAAATATAGCACGAGGCTAAGAATTTCATATAGGTATTAATTAAATAGAATGACGATAATAACCTCAATTATTTACTTAATAAATTTCTTAATCTATGCTTTACAATTCAGAGTTCGTCCTTTTCTTTTGATTTTCATGCAAGCATATAGGGGGTATATTCCTTTTATTTTGTCCTACCATAGATCACTTTAATTTAGTACAAACTTTATCCTTAAATTGCTAATTCTTTTCCTTAGAAAACAGGATTATAACAGCATGATCTTTGGGGCTTTCCTTAACAAGAATTATTATTAATTATTAATGGGGTTTTACTAATTAATAAGGTTATTAAATATTAAAATAATGTTTTTTTTAAAGATCCATTAATGGGACCTTATAAACACTGTTTAAGGATAATTAAAATATTATTTAAAACAATATTTTTGTATTTAATAAATTAGTTTCATTAAATTTAGTAAAAGATAATACATTAATTAAACTTTTCTTTCTTTAGATATCATTGGTGCTAATTAGGCACTTAAATAACATTTTCCTTCTTTCAATGCATTGAGAATCAGCATTTGTATTAATTAAATTTAATGAAAAAAAATTATTATAAAATAATATTTTAGAACACTTTTTAGTAAAATCCATTATTATACCTAGCTAGTCATAGGCAAAAGTAAAATAATTAACCAAATGAGGTTGATATTAATGTGTCAGTTTTTAAGAATTAATTTATATGATTAGAAATAATTACAACTGCCCCAACTTGTGTGGGGTTTATCTTGATTATGAGTGGACTAGGGAAGCATTTGTCAGTCTTGAAATTTCACTAATCACAACCGTTGATGTCTTCCTGGGCTGTCAGCTTTAGCTATTCTGAATAATTTGTTGATGTAATTTTCCTTTAAAAATGATCAAATTTCCCAGTGAACTGATCTCTAATTTCTATAGCAGATTCTCCTGCAGCTAGGTATTAATATAATTTATATACTGTACTTGTACATTAATATCCATGCAATACTCCATACGTCCAAACATAATACAATATGGCAATTGGCATAGCCTCAGGTTTCAAAAACCACAACAGGTATTCCTGTTTTTCGCAAATGCATTCATAGTTTTTACTTACATATATAGATATCTGAGTTTTTTTTTTCCTTTGCTTTCAATCCCAATACAAACATTCATCTTATAATTAACTAACAAGTCAAACATTAAGTTCCCTTTTTAAACTTTTAATTTTAGACCATGTAATAAAAAGTATAACCTTCTTTTATTTCATAAAATTTTTTTAGGATTCTAACATGAGACATCGTAGTAATTAGAATATCAATTTCTAATCACAAGAGTGTTCGCTTTTGGATTTTGTCAAGTTTTATAAGTTTTTGAAATTCTCTATTAAAAATACGATCGATAGATTAATAGATAATTACCTTCTCATAATTTTCAATTGAAAAAAGATGTTTGATCACATTGAAAGAAAGTTGTCAAACAGTGATAGTCTTTCCTGTTCCCTAACCCCTGTTTGATCTGTCCATTACATAAAAATGAAAGGGTGTTTGGTAAATTAAGTAGGGATAACGACAGCAGAATTGTAAAGGGATCAGAGAAGGAGACAAACATCTATATAAATGCCACCCTCACGTAATGCCAATCCTGGTAGACCAGATTAGCCTAATATAAACACCAGATATGATAAAAATAACTGTAGACAATGGAGTCTACTGTTCTACATATTCATGCCCTGATTAAAGCCATACACACCAGCCAAAACAATCCCTTTAAGAAACAGTTCACTTGCAATTGTATATTGGCCTCGGATTCCTAATCATGTTGAAAAGAACCCCATTGTTAATTGAACCAGGTGAGGTTACAAACTGAGAATGGGATAGATGTCACGGTTCCTTTATTCTGAAGTGAGAAACATAGTAGATGCATAGCAGTTATAGCTTAGTTAATTTTGTATAAACAAAGACAAATAGGCAGATCATACCAAAATTGGTGATAAGAAAAGGTCAAGAAAGAACAAAAACAGGCCCTACCAACTAATTTTGAATTTGTGAACTAAGCCAAATTCTAGAGGCAGAAAAGAAATGGGACCCAACTCAGCAAATTTTTCTGTGTGAAAGAGAAAAGGGCTATTTTTTGTCACCAAAAGAAGCCGCAGTATGGAGTAGGCGAAAGGGGTTTATATCTTTATATCTTCATGGGTGGCCAAAGGAAAAAATATTAAGCATACAATGATAAAAAGGACTTGGCAGGGCCTGTGATGTTAACTCCATCTTTTTCGGTTCACACAGATGTGGGTCAATGTTTTCAGAGGCATTACCAATTAAAATATTATGTTTTTTTTATTGGAGAGATTTCGGTGAAAACGACATGAAATCACTCCCTCATAGAAAGAGAGCAAGGAAAAAGCAGATTCCATTTCAATCTTAGGCCTCTAAGGGCTAATAAATACAACATAATTTCATACTATAATCATTATTGGATATTTTATTTTCAGCCGTGCTCCCACATTTTATGTCTGTAGCTATAAATTCTGCTACTTGAGACTTTCATTTTCTCAAGGCATCTCCTAATACTAGCATTCCCGAGAAAAAAAGAGAAAGAAAGGGAAAAGGAAAGAAAGAAAGAGAGAGAAGAGGGGATGGAGATTAGTGAACAAGGTTTCTTAGAGGAATTATTAGCTCTAAGAAGAGACAGTTGGGACACAATTCCAACAGAAATGAATGAGATTTTCTCTAGTGGCTGGAACTTTGATTGCTTTGATGAGAACCCTTCAGCTAGCTTTCTTCCAAATTCTTTCTGCCAAGAATTTTCAGTGCCTTTGGAGCAAGATTTCAATTACAACTTCAATGAAGTCTACTGTCCATTTGGTGATGAATTCTCTGCGCCACAAGTAACAGATTCATCAAATAACACATTTGATACCCCACCATTTCCAGTTCAAGAAGATTACTCGTTGAATAAGCTGGAGGAAGAAGAATCAGGTTTCCTTGTAGATGAACTTCACAAGTTGGATGTTCAAGCTACTTGCAAAGTTGAGCCTATTCTATCACCTGAAGCACCAGTTTTCAACATTGGAGGCTGTATGGACCGCAAGAATCGAGCTAAGAAGCTGGAGGGGCAACCTTCAAAGAATCTAATGGCAGAGAGAAGGAGAAGAAAACGGCTAAATGACCGCCTTTCAATGTTAAGATCAATTGTGCCTAAGATAAGCAAGGTAAATAGCAATACGACTTCTAGTACAAAATGCAAGTTCTTATTGGGTGCTAATCTGGTTTTTTTTCCCATTGTTCTTCAACAGATGGACAGGACATCCATACTTGGAGATACTATAGATTATACCAAAGAGCTCCTGGAGAGGATCAAAAGTTTGCAGCAAGAAAACGAAGGAGGTTCAAATGAGTTAAACATGGCCCACATTTTCAAGGATGTAAAACCAAATCAAATCTTAGTGAGAAATACACCAAAGGTAATGAATTCTTCTGCACCTTCAACACTTATTCAGGCTTTATTTCAAAATGCCCAAATCCTGAATTAAATTCCTATACCTGTTTCTTGCAGTTTGAGGTGGAAAGAAGAAATGTGGATACAAGGATTGAGGTTTGTTGCACAGGGAAACCAGGATTGTTGTTATCAACCGTAACAACCTTGGAAGCATTAGGCCTTGAGATTGAACAATGTGTTATTAGCTGTTTCAATGATTTTGCAATGCAAGCATCTTGCTCAGAGGTAAGAAAAATTTTTGGCAATTTTGTTTCTGAATTACTTCTTGTTAAGCCTCTATAACTTTTTTAACCTGCAATCTTACATACATTTTGGTTTTTATTGCAGGACTTGGAACAGAGAACATTATTAAGTTCTGAAGACATAAAGCAGGCATTATTTAGAAATGCTGGCTATGGAGGAAGATGTCTGTAGGAACAAAATTAAAGGACTACAAAAGAAGCAACTTCTGGTGAAATTTTTATATGTTTCCAATGTTGAGCTTTTGAAGCGAAGGATTTTCAGCAATTTTTGCCTTCTTGAATAAGTGAAATTCTAGTCATCAGAGCTTTGTAATAACTGCTTCAATTGGAGATGTTTATTAATGCAAAATTCTTCGTTATTAATTTTCTTTCATCCAACATTCAGTAATGTTTTTAAGTTTCTCTTGCACACAATTTACAAATGCTGAAAATGGCCTTCAGAAAATCAGTCAAGGTCTTCTAATAATAAATTTAGCATTTGTTAATCATTTGAAAAAGAAATAGTATGCCCAGTTGCTCACAATGGAAAAAGGTGAAAAGGTAATTACTTTTCCCATTTTGTTTCTCTCCATTCTCTTTTATTCAGCAGATAGGGGTGGGAAAGTGAATTTCTGCAGTTAGAACTACCTTTTTGGCTTTTTATCCCACAGCATGTATTTGATAGTTACATTTGCAAGTTATCAACTCATTCTGCAGCAGTGCTATTGTGCAAATTGAAAACATATGCGCAAGCACATATGTACAAAGGAATCTTGGGGTTTTTCAACCAAAAGATTTAAAGCAGATAACTGATGCAACAAAAGGTGACAGCATTGTTGACAAAGGAGGTTTTTACCAACAGTAAAAAGTCCATCTGCAGTAAGTTACACAGCTGGAACAATATCTAGCAACAAGTTTTTGTTTACTTATGTGCAAATTACGGAATAAACATTACATGCTTCGGCTTAATTCACTGTTTTTTTTTACCTTTAGCTTTGTTTCCATGTGTGGATGAATATATATGATGCAGTACAAACATATATATGATAAACTTAATTGTCAGTTTCATCAGCTTCAGAGATAGTGGCATTTGCATATGTTAGCCGCCTGTAAAAACTGAAGCACCTAGATTATATTGGTTTATTTCTTCATTCTGCTCCTGCTGCATATCTCATGAATCGGATAGCTTTGGCATCTATTTCGCGAAGTTTTAGGAAACCCAAGCAAAATTTTGACAGCATCAAACATATGTCATAACGCTTTCAGGCTTCTGTTGCAGATGTAACATGGTTTTTCATACGCGGATGCTATTGACGTGCGCGGATACTCAATGACAAGAAGTAGAGTTTGAATTGGACATCATTGAGGTGAAGCTCAGCAGATTTTTTGGGATCCTGAAAGCAATTCTGTCTGGGAATGTGAGCCGAGAGAGCTGCCAGGCAACAAAGTCAAGCACAAGAGCTAACAAATATGCAGCTTTTGAAGATTTTAACCAAGACACAATACCACGTCCTGATTCCTGAAAACTGAGCAAATTCATAAAGACAGAAGAGCATATATGAAATCTTATGCCCAAATATACGCCAAAGAAGCAATTAAATAATAGATATCGAAGGCTGAACTAGTAGACCACCATAAAGCTAGTAGTAACACAGTACACACGTTCATACGGCACACACACATGTACATATATATATATATATATATATATATATAAAGAACAAAAAGGATTTGACTATTCTTAGGATAAATTTTACTGGTTTTTATACCAAATGTTAAGTCAAGTTGTCTTCTTTGACCATGGCTTTATCCCATTTATGTTTTTATAGAGAGGTAGGGACTGGAGCACTGATATGACCCTTAACCCACTTTGCAAACTCTGATTGAATGATTGGTGAAACCCTCTGATATGACACAAGAAGAGGACTAACTTTCTGGAAAGGCATAATTATGAAAATCCCATTTTCGGGAAGAAGCTGGGACATTTTCTCAAAGTTGATAGGAAGATGCGGAGTTATTTTCCGCGCACACGAATCAGGATCCATCTATCACAAAGAGATTTATATATATATTTTGGATGCATTTGAGTATGTAGAATAGAACTAAAATAAGAAAAAAAAATCAAAAAGCTCAACAGCCAAGTTTTCCTAAGCCCTGGAAATGAAGATTTTTCCATTAATAACTGCTAATTCAGTTCTTTAATCTGAAAGCTTCCAGAACATCCTTAATTGAGTCTCTCAGACTCAAATTCTATCAGTAAATCCTTTGTTGAAATATTTTGCAACCCAAAATGGTGAAAGAAAGATTGCGGATCAAAACAATAGCAGCATTTAGACTCCCTTTAAGCAGTTCCAGATTATTAAAGCCTAAAAATATTATTTCTTTTCTATTTCTTTTTTCTTTTTCTGCATTTCTCAGCAGCCTAACACGGTAATCTAATGGCATTGTATGGTATTAAGCATAAAAATAATATGTCATCAACTTTATGCTATGCGATGTGAAATTTGGGATCACTCTTTATGAAGTGGTTTAGCAAATTGGGCCGAGAAGGCCAGAAACAGCCTGTTAGTGGAAAATGCTTATAAAAGGCCCACCATCTTTGAACATGGCCCAGCTCCAAGGCCTACAACAGCTCCATTCTTTTAACAGTTAAGAAAATTTTTATGGCTAATTAAGTTGCACAAAATAACCAAGAGGTTCTTCATCTGAGTGAAAATTGTAAGCTCTGCTTATTGGAAAATTTTTTAAGACGAATTTAGGGGATCGATTTCGGTAAAGCAATCTAAAATCTAGAAGAACCTGTGGGCCTTAAAACTCCCTTTCAAATTGGTTATTTTACTGTGGAATAAGATCTGTAATAATTTCATTCCAGTTCGATGTGAACTAATGAAATGCAACATTGGAGTTTCTGCTCAATGTGTGTTTTGTAACCATGAGGATGAATCACTGGAGCTAGCACTTGTTTCTTCAATTTCAACTTGCCAGAGCTGTCTGGGATTCCTATATCTCATCTCTCCATCCGAACCGACTGCTTTATCACTGATATTACCATCTCTTGGATCAAGAAGTAGCTGCAATCCCTTGATCACCACTGGTTCTCTGGTCAATTTGTTTCTATCTTATGGGCTATCTGGGTTCATCGAAATGAATATATAGTTTGGTGGAAGCACACCAAATGCCATGAGTGTTTGCTCAGATATAAAAATCGGGTGACCTGGATCACTAAAGCATTTTAACAACAAGCAACGGATTTTACAGCCAATCACAGCTCACTTCAGTTCGGTATATTACCAGTGGTTCACACTAGGGATGTTATCCCTAAATGATATCGAATTCGGCTTGACTCAGCTCCATTACATCCCCGGTTCACACAGCTAGAATCCTCATAAAACCTCCTCTCTGACTGAGCCAATGGACTGCTTCCTTGACGGTGAGAAAAACCGCCAGGGATTTGTCACGGATGAAGATTCTATATACCTGAACAATACTAATACAAGACATAAAAAGTTAGAAGGGAGGGCACCCAGATGCTTTTACTTTTTGCAAAAACCAGAAACAATGTTTTGGGCACTTAATCATTTTGCTAAGAACTAAGATCATTACCCATGGTATCTGTCATCAAGGTAATTGAATAAGATGAGTAAGCCATTTAGTCTTGAATCTTTTGCTGCATAAAACCATTGTGGTGCCATACATATGTTACCACATACCATGTTCATCTCATCTTTCATAGCCTTTAGGTTGCTAACAAGTCATGTCTTGCAATCTTAATGAGTTTGCTATGACTCAATTTGAGATAGTTTTATAGTAATTTGTAGAACAAGGAATTCCTGCTTCAGCACTAAAATTGCTCTGAACTGTAGATCATGTAAGCAACCCTGTTTTCAATGGATTTCAAGTGCCCCAAAAGAATTCCTGGAAACTCCAAAACCAGGTAAATATTTTCTACTGGCTGGTGCATGTATCTCCACCCGCAATTCCTTTACTCGTCTTAGACATAGATTTATATTCTATAAATGATTGTACATTCCACTTTGAGTTGAAAGTGGAATGCAGAAGCAGCCGAGTTGATGGATGATTGGACAATGAAAAAGACTAGGACCTAAAATATAAGCGAATCAAATTCAAAGGTCACTGAACAAGTGAATATATCATCAGCGAAGGCTATGTCATTATGTATCTGTTCGTACAAAACGCACCATGCCACCACCTTGATCTTGGAAGTTGGAAATTATACAAATTAGCTTTTAATTTCTCTGCCTGGTGACGGACCTCGGCTTTCCTGAGGAAAAAGAAAAAGATGAAATTTTTATTAATTTAAAGGTTAAATTTTATAATTATTTTTTTATTTTATAATTTAATTATTAAATTAAGAAGTTTTTTATATTTATTCTTTTTCATTTTTCTTACTAAACAAAGTCTTTATTGTTGTACATAAGTGGATATTAATTTTTATGTTAGTTCAACATATGTTCGATATTAATATTTTTTTATTTTTTATACATTTATGTTCACCATATATCAAACACAGTATTTTAAAAAAACTGAAGGAAGCTCCATTAATTCTATACATAAAGGCGAGAGCACGATGAACGGAGGTGGCTAAAAGCAAAATTTTATAATGACTACTTTTCGAGCTGTAGAGTACCCAAATGAACTGAAATTCTGCAGTGTTTTTCAAGGGATTTCGTTTTGGGTGTGTGAGATTACAAGTAAACCCTTTTGCTTGACACTATATGATTATAGAAGAAGAATAAACTAAAAAGGTGACAAGAACTTTGGGAGAATGCATTGTTAAAAGTCAGCACATTATGGGCTGATGGATGGAATTTTATTCCGGAAATTTGTAATGGTGGGGGCAAAATCATCTTAACATTGTGCTAAGAAATGCAGCCAGTGGAATTAATTAGGTAGGTCAAAAACTGTTGACATGTGATAGCAAATTAAAGCAGACAATTACCACTATTTGCTATATGCTTTTATCTACAATTCCTGGAAAAACTATCTCAACTGAGTCAAGGTAAACTTGAAGAGAGTCAAGAGCAATAAAATTTAGAGATCCTGCGTTAAAGAATCAGAATTTTTTAGATCGCCCATGAAAATGAAACTTGGCGAAAAAGTAACGGAAGTGATGAAGTTTACTCCACAAAATAAGCATGAGCGGTTCTAGCAGATTATAGAAATGGTGGCAGAGAATGAGAGACAGTAACTCATTTTTAAATTCTTTGAAACAAGTTCTCTCAAACACTGTAGAGATTCAAGAAATGTGCAAAGGGGACCCGCATATTCCGTACTTGATGGAGTGCTACGACCAACATTAACGTGCACAACACTCAGCAACCCACCAACACTATCATTTTTTTTTTAACCAAAACAATGAGCACCACTATCGATCTGCGAGCGATTTTGCACCGCCTAGCTAGCTAGCTATTTTCTATGCCATTTTCTCTTTACGTATCATTTACATGAAGGAACAAGAAAAAAAGAACGATGGAGAATGTTGAATCGTCAAGTAGGCCATCCATAGGGTTTCCTCTTGGTTTAGCCCTTCTTTTGATCTTGTTGCTTTGCATAAGCGGGGCTCTTATTTGTTACCTCAACTGGAAAAAGATTCGGGCACTGATCCTCCAATCTTCTGGTCATGATCAGGATAACAACAACGATATTCAATCAGATATCAATCATTCACCGGACGTTCAACCTGCATCTCCCGTCATGGTATTCCTCCTTTTATTCTTTTTTTTTTTTTTTTCTATTACTTTAGGTTGTCAATTATACTGTTCTTTTATGTCCCCGCTCAATCTTGTACTCATGTAGTGCAATTGTTATTGTTACCTTAAACAAAAACTAACGATTCGTGTACTTATATCTGAGTGTTTAAAACAGAAGCCAAGGCAAAAAATTGTAAGGCAGAGCCTGCCGGTTTTGATGCCAGGGGATCAGGTCCCAAGGTTCATAGCAATGGCTTGTCCATGCGAGCCAGCGACAATGGAAAAGATTACGATCACAGTACAGAAACCTACAGCTCTTTCGGAGCCGTTTTATTATTCGTAAATTAATTACTTACTAAATTGTATGTTACTATTTGCCATTGAATTAACTATACATCCCCTGTTCCAAGTGATTTGAAGTATAAAGAATTACGTACAGATATTAGGACAGAGGACAAGATGTAAAATTTTTTTTTGGGTATTCAGGGATTGTTTATTGCTGGGTGCAGACAACTACTTTTCATACTATTTTGGTTCTTACCAGCTAATAGTTGTTTGTATTATATTTATCATCTGATCAGATTATGCATCCTGCTGTTAAACATGCCATGCCATTTTTGCTTTGATTAACGGTCAGTTCCAAGAATTGTGCCATACTGTTGCACTATAATCCTAGCAACCTTGAATCTCAAGCTCCTGGTTCAACAATCCATCCTTTCTACCAATTTAAGTGACATCTCTCGAGAAAAGTTTAACTTGATAAGAATTAAGAAGGATGAAAGAATTCAATCAGACAGTAAGGATTCATGCAATGACTTGTAGCTTAACCATCGAATTAAAATCTTTTACTTTCCTTCTCATTTTCTTTCTCCCCAATCAAACTTTTTTTGATTGCTCAACCATTGAATTAAGATTTATGGTAAAGCCAAGCTAAATTGATCATTCATAAACGGACTGCTTAAGCCCATTTTCTAATATTGGTAGTGTAATATTTCTTTTAAGGTAGTGGATACACTCAAGTTACCCCTAACCCAACTTTTCTTTTGCAAAAAGCCTATCTTACGTACCAAGATGCTAAATATAAAAGATCAAATTCCTATCCATAAGAATTAGGCCAATTGATGTATGATAATATATCTTTAAGATTTTTTGAGAAGAGGATTAAACTCTGACAAAGCCTGAAGATACCTTTCCTCCACTTTTATTATTGGCTCCATTCTAATTAATAGGCCCATGAACTTTGGGTCCTGAGAAGTTTTATCATTCATGCAATAATCTTCCAAGTTAAACTACATAGTAATGCAAATTCAGGCCCATCCCAAACCGGTATTTTGTAATTAGAATCAAACTTTACCAATTGCCAAAACAAAGTGAAGATATTGAAGGCAGGCTCAGCCATAAGACTTTTACATTAATAAAAACATAAAATATCCACATTAGAGCAGTAAATACAATAAAATATTTACAGGGTTTAGCTTTCAAAAACAATAATAACATTATCCAATTCTGCCTTGACTCGTGTGCTCTCACAGACATGGTCACCGGATTACAATAAAGACTGAACATACAACATTTCTGAGTTCTGACTCAAAAAAACTAGAACGAGTTTGACATGTCACATTCCCATATATTTTTGTTTTGTTTTTTTAATTTTTTCCTACAAAATCGTGCTCCCAAAATAGAAAAAATATATTATAAATAATAGTTTTTAAATTTTAAATTAATTAAATTTATTTTTTAAAATAATTATATGAATAAATTAATATAAAATTTCAAATAATTTTTATTATTACGTCATTAATTAAAAGAACAAAAGCTTACGGCCACGAGGCTTGCTTAAAGACTTAAGGGGCCCAACACCATGACATCTACCTGGCTCGCCTCATAGAGCTGGTGGCCCACTTTTTTGACCTACCTTTGGAGGCGTTGCAATTGAACCAGTCCCCAAAAAAATCCATGATCTTCATGGTTGGAATTTAATTTTAATAACATTTTTTTATAGGACAAAATCCCGAAGTATCTGCTGAAATATGTGGCAACCAACTAAAATTTTCCTCTGAAGTATCATGTGTGTATACTGTTAACTGCATAGAGCTCACAAATAAAATAAATTTGGATAATTACACCACTCTGAAGTATTTTATATTTGGAGAGGAATGTTGATGATGATGATCATAATGATCAGGATTATTATGCCGAGAAACCATGTACACGATAATACCCCATTTTTGCATGGGTTAAGGGCGAAGCGTGCAACAGCGGGTGGCAGGGCGCTTATCGATGGTTACTAAAACGCTTCCTATCCCTTAAAAAATTATATTCCAGTAAAAAAAATCTTCCCACAAAAGATTTAATATCCCAAAAAAGAATCAAATCCAACGAGCGTGCTTTCCCACACGGACACCATCATCGAACTTCTTCGAACCCTGAGGGCCCCACATTTCTTCTTACTCCCCCACATCTCCTTGTTGATTGGCGCGTGTTTGGAGTACGAAACACGGAGCGTGTGATGCAAGAGAGAAGAAATGAAGGAAGTTATAAGTCGCGTTCTGCACCCGGCAATCCCAAATCAAAAACCGCTTTCTTGTCCCCCGACTGATCATATGCTTTCACTCTGTTTTTGTCTGTCCCCTCTCAAAACCTCTCTCTGTCTCTCTTCCCCACCTTAATGCTATCCCTACGTAACTCACACTATTCTTTCTCTCTCTCTCTCTCAGTTTCGATCTTCTTTTGCTCTTTATTTTTATTTTAATTACTAATTTTTCCCTTTTATTTAACAAAATTTCTCTGCCACCCTTCAAATCTTTTAGATTAATTGGAAATCATATTAGTACATACCTTCAATAATTACTCCACTGGATATCATTTACTAAGTAATAAGCAGGAGAGGTTCATACTCATTAATTTGTAGATAAAATGTTAAATTTTTAATTTTAATAATTATAATTTAATGTTAAATATAAAAATTATAATTGATTCGGATAGTTTGTTTACTATTTGTTTTTATAATATATTAATTTAATGTAATATATTTTAATAAGTAAATTTTTTTTAAATAATAAAAGGATAGGCAAGGATGGTTCTTTTTATTCTTCATATTACATATTTATTTGTAAAGCTCTAACTTTAATTTACTGGAATAATTTATCTCTCTGATAAATAAATTGTTGTAAAAATCATCCCTTAATATATATATATATTCATAAAAGGCATGAATAAAATTAGATATTTAATAAAGTTAAATTATACAATTATTTTTAAAAAATAATATGCAATAAATTTAATATTTAAAATTTAACTCTTATAATCTTAATTTTTCTGTATCCTTAAAGTAAGATTATTTGAAAAAACATGATGAGTGGGTCATTATTTAGTGGAAACCATGGGGCCCGTTTGAGTGAAACCCATAGGACCCAACTTAATGGTGCTACCAGCATGTGAGAATAGTTGGTGGGATTCACTAAGGTCATTCATGTGAGTGGACTATGTTTTCGTGATTGTGAGATTAAAATCAGGAAGTTCTTTCTTTGCAAAGTAACATGTGGGATGAGGGGGCAAATGGGGGAGGGAATCTCCATTTGCTAAAATAGAAATAATATATATATATATATATGTAAGATGAGCAATGAGTGGGGTGGTTGAAAATGTTATATCTAGCTAAACAAGACCTTTTCTTCTTTTTTTTTTTTTTTTTTTAATTTCCTTTGCTTCCTTCCTTTATTGGCAAATTGTCTTTAAATGTGTTTATAGTAAAAGTTTATATATTAAAAGAAAAAAGCATCATGATTGTGTAAGGACGGAGGTTAACATTTCTATTTTCCTCCCGTCACAAAATTGATTTGTATATATATTATATTATATTAATATGGATGAAATTCGTATCATGGTATAAAATATATTAATTTGAACTTAAGTTTTAATTTAATTAATTAATATAATTATTTTTAAGAAGTCATATGTTATATAATTGAATTTAAATTTAATATTTGTAATATTTGTTATCTTCAAAATTGCAACATCTTTATATAGAAAATTTTTAATTTAATTAGTGAAATTATATAAAACCAAATAAAGAAAATTTTAAAAAAATATAAAATATCTCAGGTGTAAATGTTTATTTAAGCATATACGTTTAATTGAATTTAAATCATTTCAATTATTATTTTCTTTAGTTTTACTTTTGCATGCACTTTAAATAGAAACTGTGTATTTTTCTTGGACATGACTTTTTCTTTTCATATTTTATTCATGTAAATAGGGTGTAATCAATCGAGTTTGAACTGATAAATATTAAGTTTAAACTTGATTTTAAATTTGAGATTCAAAACTTGATTTGAATTTGATCATTTTTTTTTAACTTGAATTCAACTCGAGATTAAAATTGAACTATTCGAATTCGTTCAATTAAATTCGATTAATATTTTAAAATAATCTTAATTTTTATATTTAATAAAATTTAATTATTTATTCAAATTCAAACTCAAATTAAAATATTTTATTAATTAAAATATATTAAAATATAAAAATTCAATTAGACTTACGAGCTACTTGAGCTGAGGTATAAAAATATTCAAACTTTGCTCGATCGATAAGTCAAGTTATTTAAGTTTAAACTCAATTCGATAATAATTAAGTTAAATTTAAATTTTATTCGAGTCAAATTTGAGTAGTTTATGAGTATCAATGTATCATTTACACACTTATAAGTAATAAATGTTAAAAAACAAACAAGTTTAACAAAATGAAAAATAAAAGAGAAAGAATAAAATTACATTATTAGATTTTTTGGTTAAAAATGTATCAATTAACTATTTGTATTTTTAAATTGAATGACCATTTCTTGAAAATATGATCTCTTTCGAAAATTTAAAGCCCAAAAACTCTTATTTTGAATGTTAATTAAAAAGGAAGAAATTATATTAAAAATTAATAAAAATTCAAATTTATAGTTGAATCGGGGTAATATGGTATTTTTATATATGGTTTCCTTGTCACCGTGAAAGCCAAGGACCCTTCCTCCCTCCCTAGGGAGTATAGTCTTATCGGGCTTATCCTGACCTAAACTCAAGGGCAGTGATTTGGGACACGTCCTAGTTTATGATTGATAGAATGGCCCTGTGCAGCAAAGACGAGTGTACCAACAAAATGAAAGAGGTAAATGACAATAATATATTCGGGCAAAAGACACCTTGGCCCACATTATTAATCTGCCCACTACCTATGATATTATGGGAAACATAATTATAAGAGACATAGCATTTTACTCTACCATGCATGAAATGAAAGCCTCCGTGTATTATATTCTTTCTCTTTTTTTTTAAATTTTTTTTGAAATTATACATCCGATTTTTTTTACTATAATTTTATGATAATGTTTTTGGTATAGATGCCCTGGTTGGTCAATAGGACTAATTTGGACATACAATATAAAAATACGATTAAGAGTTGTTTAAGTTTATTTTTTAAAATATGTTATAATATTTAAATAAATCAAATGTCTTTAAGTTTTCGAAAAAAACCATAAAAAATATAAAGGAAGTTTACAAATAAATTATTCATAATGTGTTTACATATTTTTTTTTACTTTATATAAGAAATAACAAAAGGTAATATAATCAAAATCAATTGCAGTAGGTAAAAATTCAAAAAGAATCACGTAAATAAATACATATTATATTTAATAATTTTAAATAAATTAAATATAAATTTATATATTATAAAATGATACGTTGATAGGACGTTAATAAAAGTAGTTGGGTAAGCTATCTCCATGGTCGAAGAAATCCTGATAGGCAAGTTGACAAGGAGTTTAAACATCAATCCCCTTAACAGAAACGTGACAACTGAGTTTATATTTACTTGGCAAATATGGAGATTAATCTTGTTGACATGTTATTAATTAATTAGGTGTAATAAATATTAATTTATTAATATTGTTTTTTCTGGAATATATCCAATATAAAAAAGCATAATAAACTAATATTATAACAAAATTATGTCAAATTTAAGAATAAGCTCGGCCCGACGACTTTAAGTTTTTTTATGCGTGAAAAAGAAATTGTCGGCAATTATAATTTTTCATTCACACATCAGAATTATTAATTAATAAAAAATTATCAATAATAAAATTTTTAAACTTTACAAATAATGTTAAAAATATAACATTTGTTTTGATAAAATAATAAAAAATTATAAAAAATCTGTAATAACTTTTTAACCTTAAAAAAATTAAAAACGAATTCACAATAAAAAATAATTTTATAAATATTTATTTATCATTATCAATGATCAAAGCGCAGAAAAAAATTGACCGCTTGGTTAATCCATAAATCCATAGCCGTTGATTTGCATTCCCTCTAATCGTCCGGCGGACAATTAGAAAAAAAAAGAAAACAGAATAAACGAATTAAAATTAAGCGAAAGGCAGGGGGCAGACAGAAGAAAAAGACTTAAAAAAAAGGAAAGGAAGAGTTTTTTTTATGAAACAAAAGTATTTTTATAATTTTTTAAAGTTTGTTTATTTTAATGCTGCAGGAGTTTCACATCGGACAGCAAATAAGCTTTTGTTACCAAGAGAAAATTGCTTGCTTCTAAGTAAAAATCAAACCAATAAAATTATAAGATTTTGATTTTGATCTTATTCTTCAGTTTCTAATCTATTAATCCAATCAGGTAATTATTTTTTTGTTGTCAAATCCCTTTTTTTTTTTCGCTTCTGCTTCGAAGTGAAAATAGTGAAAATCTTGTTTCAGCTTTTTTTTTTTAAATTTCTATTTTTGTTGTTTTTTTGGCTCGTGCTTTCTTGTTAACTGGTGTTTGTTTCCTGAGAAAACTGAGGAAAAGTTGAAGGGAATATAAGAAAGTTAAAAATGCAGGATTGTCGCTTCAGTTCGTTCTCCGTACAGTTAAAGAGGGTATAGGATGCTAGCTCGTCTCTTAACTTATTGATCTTAGTTAAGCTTTAAAAGCTTAGGTTTAAAGTCCATTTTTCTAGCCATTTTCTCAGCAACAAAACATGCTACAATTATTTGCTTCTTTTTATATACCATCATTTCTTTTTTGAAAATTTCTCTTTCCCTTTTTCTTCGCTTCTTTTGGCGCGTGCGTGTGGTTTTGTTGTTCTATTTTTTTTCTTTTTGCATCCATTTACAGCTGTCAATGCTCAATAGAAAATGCTTCAAATTGCAGCTATGTAATTTTCAGTAACGAACCAATTTGTTTGATGTTTCATAGTTTAGTTTATCATTATTTCAGTTGCAAGAATTCTTGAAATTTCTTTCTTGGATAAGCCAATTATTTCATAGGATTTTCCGACATTTGAAAAGAAAAGGTGACGTTTCTAATCCTAAGATTCACGCTTGTTTTAATTTATCTTATCCCTTAAATTCTCTTATTTCTTAAGGATCTATTTAAAGCTTTATTCTGTTTAATTTGATTGGAGATGGTTTATAGTTTGTAAATAGGGGTAGCCAGCAATTGCTGTATATATGCAGCTTTAAATTTAATTCTTCAAATGATAAATTTGGTTATCTTTAAATTTAGCAGGCTGTGAAGTGTTGAGGGTGTGTGTGGTATTTTGGAATTCTGATGTCTCCGCCGCTGCTCGGCGTGGAGGAAGAAGGGGTTCAGAGCAATGTAACTTTACTGGGTTCTTCAGAGTCCATGAATAGTGTGTGCCAGAATAGTGCTGAATTGCAGGAGCGCAACTACATGGGCTTGTCTGATTGTCCTTCCACGGATAGCTCTGTTGTCTCCCCTGCATCTGAGGAAAGCAAGGCTAGTTTGAATCTCAAGGCAACGGAGCTTAGGCTTGGGCTTCCTGGATTGCAGTCGCCAGAAAGAAATCCGGAGCTTTGCTTGTTAAGCGCTGCTCAACTTGATGAGAAGCCCCTTTTCCCTTTGCATCCTTCAAGTGATGGTCACTGCTCCGCATCACAGAAGGCTGTCGTTTCAGGCAACAAAAGAGGGTTCTCTGATTTAATGGATGGGTTCTCAGAGGTAGGAATCACTGCTATTAATGAACAGCGGGACTAATATTAATTAACTCTAACATGCAAAGTACCTAATCTATGTTGCAGGGTAAATTTCTTTCTAATTCAAAAGCAGATGTGATGTTGTCACCCAGGCCTTGTTCGAACTCGGGACTGAAATCTGGTTCTGTGCTTGAGAACCTTGGGGCTCAACCAACAAAGGCCGAAGAGATCACGAAACAGAAGGTGGTACAGGACAGGCCTCATGCTGCCAGTGAGACTAGGCCCAATCCTAATACATCATCTGCAAATATTAACAGTGGAGCACCTGCTACCAAGTAAGTGTGCATGGTTTTCAGTTATAAATTTTGGATAACCATGAGATGATTCTCTGATCCTCCTCCTTTTACAGGGCACAGGTTGTAGGTTGGCCTCCTATTAGATCATTTAGGAAGAATTCATTGGCCACCACTTCAAAGAACACTGATGAAGTAGATAGAAAAGCAGGGCCTGGGGCTCTGTTTGTTAAGGTCAGCATGGATGGTGCTCCTTATTTGAGGAAAGTAGACTTGAAAAACTACTCTAACTATCAAGAACTATCTTCATTTCTTGAGAAGATGTTCAGCTGTTTTACCATAGGTGAGCTATTTCAATATAAAGATTTTAGGCTGTGGACTTTATATGTACGTAATTCATGCACAGCTGTTTTTTTTTGAAGACAGCATTTATTTGCATGGATCCAGTTACTGCTATTTCACTATGATTTCAGGTCAATGTGGATCTCATGGAACTCTGGGTAGGGAGCTGCTGAGTGAAAGCAAGCTGAAGGATCTGCTGCATGGATCAGAATATGTTCTTACTTATGAGGATAAAGACAGTGACTGGATGCTTGTTGGTGATGTTCCATGGGAGTAAGCTCTAAGCCCCCTTTTATCTGTTTGCTTCTCATTTTGTGCTTCCTGCCAGTTCAATGATTATGACAGTATCTATACTTTGGCAGTTGAATTGCCGTTATAAGAATGTGTTTGTAGGTTATTAGCAAAATGTCAGCCATTTTACTTCTGAAGAAGTAAAAAAAAAAAAAAATGCTTACTGATGGTACGATTATGCAAAATGCACTCACAGGAGTCAGATAAACCAAAGCAAGGCACAAAACAGAAATTGTTTCTGCCATATTATTTTAGAAATCTGTTGTTATGCTTTCTGGTCTGTCTTGAGCTTTTAAAGAAATGCTGAGAAGTAAGAACATCTTTGAATTAGTAAGGATAAGTGCAAAGTGCAAATTATCCCTCATATAGTATCTATAGGATTTTTGTAGGAGTCCTTAAAAAAAAGGAAAGGAACACTTGTTCATTAGCTCTAGAGAAAAATTATGTAATAATGGTGATGCATGCATGTAATCATTGGTTTGACCACTAAATTGTCTGTTTTTTCCCTTTATTTAGCTGACCATAGTCAAAAATAGAAAGGTAAAAAATTTGCATTGGCCAGAACATGTATGCTATCGTGATATAGGAAAATTCATACATGTTCCTTGAGCTGCAATAATTTCCCCAATAGATTCCAATTTTTGGCATGATGGTTCTTTTGCCCACATTTTAATACTCTAGCCACATAATTTCAAAGTTCGGTATGTTACTGTTTGTCTGCATCTATCTGAGTCGGAACATATTGGTGCATTATGAAGTTCAGCATGTTAGCATTTATTGCTTAATCTTCTACTCAAATAATGGTAGTTTATTGTAGCTCAATTCAAATTTGATACTTGTTTCAGGATGTTTGTTGATACCTGCAAAAGGCTGAGGATCATGAAAAGCTCTGATGCCATTGGACTTGGTAAATATTTCTATGTGTTTATTCTTCATCAACTTAGTGTCACAGCATAAGTTAGTATGGCGACCAGTTTCTATATTTACATCTTCTTCTGACAATATGGATAATATACATATTTATAGACAATTCTCCTTCGAGTATTCTTATGTTCACAAAAGCCTTTTATGTGCCCCAACCTACTAATTGGACATTAAAGTTCAAAACCTTCGCATAAAATTTTGGCACTGTTTAACAACATCTAAATAATGATGCAGTGTTCGAACTTTGAAGTCTAAATAATAATGCCATCATAATTTCTTCTTGCCCCTTCCGTCTGCAATATTGCATCAGCATAGCTGTTGAACTAAGGTCTGGCCGATGCTTAATTATTTATGGCAGTGGTTTGCATATCTAAACATGTGATTATTAGGCATTGCAGATCTCTTAACGTATCTCCATTTTTAGACTAAATACCACTACTTATCCTCTTGTAAACAGAAAAAAGCATATCAGAATTAGTGCTTTACTGAGTTGACTCAGGTTCTTTCGAGTTTGAAACTTGAAAGTGGGTTACCATTTGTCATAGCAAAGCAAAAGTTGTACTCTATCATATTGCTGTTATGCCCAAGATGAGCTTTGTTCTGTCTAGAGCATATGAGCATATGAAAATACTCTGTTTCTACAGTGCTTGTTCATGTTAATTAAAGTATGTTTAAAACCCATTGACTTCTCTTTTCATGGAGCTTTTGTTTTTGTGTTGCAGCCCCAAGGGCCGTGGAAAAATGCAGGAACCGGAACTAGCTAGCATCAAACATGATTTTGGCTATCCATGCAGCAGCCTTTCTGGAGGAGATGTTGAAGCACATTCAAGATTCTTTCTGAAAGAGATTAGAGGATGCTGAAGTGGGCAGGAGATCATGGGTATCTGCTTTCGTATGTTTTTACTTATATGTTCTCTTCACGAGGGAATTTATATCATGTAAGCCTGTTTTTAGTCTGCTAAAATTATAAAACCATCAAGGCCTGGCGTTTGTAACTTTAGGATTCAATCAGATTAGAGTCTGGACAAGTGCCTTGTTCCGACGCAGGATCTTTAGTTTGTAAAATGCTTTGTTTGTTGAACTTTTATCGTGTGTGTTTGTTTGATGAAAGACCTCGACGTTGTCTGGAACCTGACATGATTGTATTAACTCAGTGTGCGGCTACTTGCGTGTGATATTCCGCTTAACCATTGTTTCGCAAGCAATTTAGTTACAAATTTTCTCGATATGCTGCCCTACTCTGTTAATTTTAACTGATTGAAAGAGAACCTTGGAAGTGGTCGAGGGCCAAATGGCTCATTGAATTCTGTCCAAAGTTTTATTGTTATGTCTTGGGTATCTTTTCAAGGCTTCTTATGTAAACAATTGAGATAGTGCCAGCCCGTGAGATATGCTTGTCAGAGAGTAGCCCTATCAAAGCATGTGAGAAACTGCATTATTGCTATTGTGCTTTGCTCAGAATGAATAATGTAAATAGGGGGGAAGTGGGGACTAGGGAAGGTGAAGGCTGATTTTGCTCTGGATGGTAGGGGCACAAATTGTTGGCCATTGAGGCATTAACCTACAGAAAAGATTCTGGTACCACAATCTTGTAATCAGATTGTCCTTTTACCATACTTTCTAGTTACAGGTCGAGCTTCACCTTGTGCACGTGGATGATTAAGATATTGCAACTAGGGCATCTGGAAATAGTTACAAAAAGATTCCCAGATACGGTCAAATCTCAAATCCATTAATTGAGCTCTCGCATTAAATCAAAGATTCTCGGAAGTAAAATTTATTTTCATCTTTTTCTTTTAACAGGTGAGTAGAGTAGGGGACTGGCAACTGGTACGGACTATTTGAAAGAGATGGAATTGAACAAGATTTGATAAGATTGGAACCTTGACTTTGTCCAATTTATTGCCAAAACAAACTTGTCTTCTTTGTAATTTCCTGCTTGGGTCCTGGCTCCTGAGGGTTTGTGAAATTGACAATGTTTCTTGTTTGGTTTCTCTCGGACCATGTTCCCCGGTGGCCCGTCTCTGTCAAAGTACTAACCTATGATCACGGGTAAAATTTTGCCCATTGGGTCGTTGGTGAAAAGAAGATTTAAGGGTATGCTAGGCAAAGGGGAAATAGAAGGAAAAATCAGAATAAAAAAACCTGTAAGTGGGAAAGGGTGTTCTATTTTTAGCTTGTCTGGATTTAGAATCGGCAGGAAATAGTTTTCACGTTACTGGAAATATTATCCCATAGGATAGCGAAAAGCTCATGAAGTAAATAATCATGGTTAAGCATTGGCACGGTTTGCGTAAAGAATTTTTTTTTGAGCGATAAAAAATTTTAAGTTTAATCCAGTTTTTTTTTTTCTCAAGTTGGTTCAAATTAATTTATTTATATAGGGTTTAATAAATTTATAAAAAAATTTATTTTTTTCTCTCAACAAATTCATATTGGGCTAAAAAATCTCAATCTAATCACACCAATAAAAATATAATCAAATAATAAATTAAACACATAAAAAATAATAATTTAACATGATTCGATCCAATTGACTTACCTCCATGAATGAGAAACAATATCTATTAGTTGTAGAAAATTACAAATAAATATTAAATTAAATCACTCGTAACTAATACCAATAGACTCTCTCAATCTTTTTTAGTTTTATGAAGTATTCTCAATCCAAACAAACGCATCTCATATACACTCTTTCAACACAAACAAATATATACTTATATATACCCATTCACCATGCCTATGTTAACTGTCTAGATCTTTTCTAATTTACTCTCATGCATTATATAAATATATACACCCATAAGATAAAAATCTTTAATAGTCTTATGGGATGTCTATCCCATAAAACTTTACAACTCTCTTATATATTTTTCTCATATCTAATTCTGCAGAGATTTCACCTATTTATAATCATACAAACTTGTGTATTAAAAATCTTTTTACTCTTAAAATTTTTTTTCTACAAATCAAATTTACCTATTAACAATCCATTTCCTTTTATAATTTTTTTTCTGCAAGTTTTTTTATTTATCAAGCAATATCTAACAAATCTCAAACAAATCTGTTATGAGATTTAAGTCACTATTTCTAACAATCTTCACATTGACTCAAATTTCATCAAATCATCTATTTTCATGCTAGATATGCTTGACTTCACCTGTAATGAAAGTCTTATAATTATCTTCTCTTGTGTGTCTTCACACTTCATGCAAACCGATCTTCAAAACACAAATTCGAACTTTTTCTTTGAGTTTAGTTTCTCTGGACTTACCTCTTCCCATAGCTTGAACCTTCAGCTCTGATACTACTTGTTAAACTAAAAAGCCCTAATCTAATCACACCAATAGAAGCATAATCAAATAATAAATGAAACACATAAGAGATAATAATTTAATATGATTCGATCCAACCGACCTACTTTCATAGATGAGAAACAAGATCCATTAGTTGTAAACAATTACATACAAATATCAAATCAAATCAAATCAAATACTCATAACTAATACCCATAGGGCCCTCTCAATTTTTTCTAGTCTTATGAAGTATTCTCAACACAAACAAACATATCCTATATGTACTTTTTCAACACAAAATAAACATATATTCATATGTACCAATGCATTATACCTATATAAACTCTTTCAGTCTCCTCTAGTTTACTCCTATGTACCATACAAACAAACACATCCATAAAATAAAAAGCTCCAGTAGTCTTTTGGGAGGTCTATCTTATAAAATCTTATAATTTTCTTACATATTTTTTTCGTACTTAACCTTACAAAGATTTCGTCTATTTATAACAATACAAACTTGCTTATTAAGTATCTTTTTACTTTTAGAATTCTTCTTTTGCAAATCAAATTAAAAATATATTTCCTTTAATTTTTTTTTACAAGTTTTATTATCCATCAAATAATATCTAATAAATTATATCGAATAATATCTAGTAAATTATAAACAAATCTATTATGAAACTTGGTTCCATATTCCTTAACAATTTAAAGTCACATAACCAAGAGATGGGTAAATTTTTTTTGCCACTTGAGCAATATCTGTTGGTCGGATAAGGAATTTTATATTTGAATATGTGTTCTCTTGTTATAAATAAATGAAACATGGTTAAGGAGTTAAGGATGTAAAGGTTCATTCATTTGGATGAAAAAAGTATATAGGTGAAGATCCAATGCACCATTTTTTTTTATTGGACCGGCTAAGTTGGAGAACAAAGCTGCTGAGCTTTGTCAATTCTCAGAGATTTTATGATCCAAATTAACCGTCCGCCAGAGCCTTTGATCAGTTTCGAGGTTGCATTTCCCTGAAACATCAGAAATTGTCTTCACCAAACATCACTTGCATAGGAAAATGAAAAACTGATTTTAGAATTTTTAGGATTGTAACCCTTGCAAATGTATGTAAGTAATATTTCTGGGTACTGCATTTTGGAGCAAACAGCTTGGAAATCATTTCCTTACAGCAGTAGACAGAACTTGCTTCCTCTCAAGTTTTGATGCCAAGTTCTTTGTTTGTTCATGAAATGTTTGTGACATCTGGGACTCCGCATCAAGATAAATTATGTATCATTTTTCTTCTTTTTTTTTTCTTAGCAGTCTAATTGTTGAAATCTGTGTTCAACAAAAAAGAAAAAAACCTTTTGCTGCAATTTGTGATCTTTCTTTGTTTCTTTTGATCATTTCTCCCTAGAACTAGCTAAATTTCGATGTGTAGTAGGGCATTTAGAGACTTTCATCTTTAGTCAAATCCACACTCATTGCAGGACTGATTGCAAAACCTTTTTGATCAAATAAAGTGAGATGACAGCTAAGAGCAATGATACTGCAATTTTGTCTTCCACAGAAGTATGCGTCAACCTTAAACCAAAATGTCTCTGCTCCTAGCTACCATACAAAGGATATTGCTGAGATTACCACATCATTTGAGCATTATAATCTTCGTCCCCATTTCTTATAATTTATCACCAGTTTTCACCTTTCCTGACTACTTTTCAGAATAATGTAGGCCTCTTGGCATTTTATTATCCACTCTTGTTGACCTTTATTTCTCTTTTATGATCATCTAATAATGAAGCAGTTGAACTGTATAGATATACATGATTTTGAGGTATCCAAAAGGGAAAGTCAAGTTGATGGACAAAAGTTCCAAATGTACAATTAACTTGTAATTACAATGTCTAAGGCTTGGTTTGAGTACCCTTATCTTCTATTACATTTTCACTGTATGAAGAGTCCAGTTTTAAGAAAAATCCCATGACCTGCCTCCAAATCTTTGCCCATTCCATCTATGACTCACAAATGAAAGAGAATACCATCCTCCCTGCAATATTGGCAGATGACTGAGAGCTTGCACAAGATTTTAGCGGCAAGGAATGGCAAAGATTAAAAAAACCCATTTCATGCTAGTAAAGATGCCAACAAGAACTGCAAAAAAAATTTTCTTGCCATACAGTGGTTAAAGCATAGCTTTGAAAAGGTTGATGAAAGTTTGGTTTTGGTGAATAATTTTATCATGCCATGTTCATTTATTCTCTGCATTAATATGCAACATATATATGTTGGAATAGTCTGGTCAAAAACCATCCCCCATCCCCTCTTTTTCCAAGTATCATAATAATTCGATAGAATTCCATTCAGACAAATGATGAAAGTGGGGTATCTGAAAGGCTATAATTATTTCTTTGTTCTCTAGTACCCTATTGTTTAGATTTTAAATGAAGTTGGAGTGGTTAGTAAGTAAACTAATGTTTGTTGGAATCAAAGTTTATGAAATGAGGATTGGTTAGAGAACTTCCTGTTTTTTTTTTTTTTTTAATTCCCACTATAAACCTCCATAAAGCTGCTTTGGACTCCAGTGCACAAAATAATTTTCAAAACAAGAACCAATAAGTTGGTTTATTCAATCACTCAAGTGACATTCAACAGGTCAAGAGTTTAAATCTAAACATCTATAATCTCTTTCTCTATCCCAAAGCTACATTAATATACTTTGTAAAAAAAAAAGAAAAAGTCAGCTAATTACAATAATGTAAGCAATAATTTCTGCCGATATACATATCTTTCAGCTTTACTGATATTATGCATCTGATAGTGTCCAAACTCCTTTAAATTTCAACCCTATCCTTTTGTAGGACTGCAACCTTTGGACATGACATTTTGTAGAACTATAAGGACACAGGGTTACTCATAAATATAGCTAGACAGAGATCCGAAATTAAGCTTCCTCAAATATGATTTCGGTGTCCATTGCACAAGAACATGGAGTTACTTAGTTACCAATTTTACTCCTTGTGAGTGAAACCTGATTGAAAACAACAGTTTTAAGTCAATTAAAACTGTCCACATGACTTGTTCAAGTATTGTTGCTGTAGTTTTCAAGAACTTTGCCAATTTGAAATCGACCTTTACT